CGGCAATGAAGTCGGCAGGGACTTGTGATTTTATCACCGTTCTCGGTTGATATGTGATATCATGCTCGCTTAATTCTATGGACCACATAGTTAACCTGCCCGATAGCTCGGGCTTATGCAAAATGCTTCTCAAGGGGAAAGTTGTGACTACCGAGATGGGGTGGCACTGAAGTAGGGTCTAAGCTTTCGTGAAGCTACGACCAAGGCCATGGATAATTTTTCGATGTGGGGGTACCTCGTCTCGGCATCGATTAAGGTTTTGCTAATGTAATAGATAGGAGATTGTGTACCTTTGTCTTCTCGGACCAGGACCGCACTCACCGCCACTTCAGATACAGCGAGGTAGACGAGGAGGTGTTCCCTAGGTTCGACTTTGGAAAGCAACGGCGGTGATGACAGGTAAGACTTTAACTCCTTCAGGTCTTGGACGCACTCGGAAGTCCACTGGAGGCTGTTATCCTTCTTGAGTACGCTGAAGAACTTGTGGCATCTGTCGGATGATCGCGAGATGAATCTCAATAGGGTGGCGATACGGCCAGTCAGCCTCTGAACATGTTTTTTGCTGGTTAAATGCTCTGGTATTCCTTCTATAGTTTTTATTTGGTCGGGGTTGACCTCGATACCTTGTTGTGATACTAGGAAGCGCAAGAATTTTCCTAAGGTCACGCCGAATGCACATTTTTCAGGATTTAGCGTCATTTCGTACCGCTTGAGTATATCGAAGGCTTCTTTCAGGTAGTTGATGTGATCTTCTTTCCTTTTGGACTTGACCAACATATCGTCTATATAGACTTTCATGGTCTTGTCGAGTTGATCTTTGAACATTTTGGTCACCAACCTTTGGTATGTCGCCCCTGCATTTTTCAGTCCGAAAGGCGTAACTCTGTAGCAGTACGTTCCTTGGTGGGTGATGAAGGTAGTCTTCTCCTCGTCCTCCTCTTCCATGAGGATCTGATTGTAGCCCGAGTAGGCATCTAAGAAGCTCAGCAGCTCATGTCCGGCCGTTGCGTCAATGAGCTGGTCGATTTGAGGTAGCGGGAATGAATCCTTGGGATATGCTTTGTTTAAATCTGTAAAGTCCACGCACATCCGCCACTTTCCGTTCTTCTTTTTCACCATGGCCATATTTGCGGCCCATTGAGGGTATTTTGATTCCCTGATGGAACCATTTTCCAGTAATTTTTTGACCTCCTCGCGGACTGCATTGTTATTGCAGAATGACCTTCCCCCTAACCTGCCTTACCGAGGGGTGGAATGGGTTAACGTTCAACTTGTGTGTGGCGATCTCCTTCAGGATACCTGGCATGTCTGCATGGGAAAAAGCAAACAAGTTTGCGTTAGCAATTAAGAATTGACGGAACTTACCTGGTTCTTGAAGCTTGCAGTCGTTGTAGGCTTTCTTGCTGTGGTCGTTATCATCAAGTTGGACGGGGTCGAGGTCTTATATGGTTGATCCCGCGGCTTTCACTATTTCTGTATCTCTGATGACGTCCTTTCTTTCATCACAGCTCAACCTCGACCCTGGTAATTGCTTTGCCTCTTTTGTTTTGCCCTTCATTTGTTGGGTAGTTGTACAATCCAGGGAGATGCGGTAGCATTCTCGAGATGTGTGTTGTTCTCCTCGTATACTGAATATTCCCCACAGGGTTGGGAATTTGATAACTTGGTACTAGCTGGAAGGGATGGCCCTCATGGCGTGTATCCAAGGTCGACCTATTATGGCGTTGTACGTCGTATCCTGGTCCATGATGTGGAATGTGGTTTCCAGGGTGAAGCCCTTGGCCAGGACGGGCAGTGTGATTTCTCCAGACTTTCTTTCAACTGCATTGTTAAAACCTGTTAGCGTGATGCAGCGCGACACTATCTTATCCTCGAGTTTCATTTGTGCAAGTACTCGAGGGTGGATAATGCACGAGACGCTCCCATCGTCCACCATAATGCGTCTTACATCTGTATCTAATATTCGTAATATGATAACAAGGGCATCATAGTGAGGAAAAACCAAACTGTGGGTATCCGACTTATCGAAGATGATACTTTCTTCGACTTCGTCATACCGTTCATGAGTGATCGACCGTTTGAGCTTGTGGGTTGTGGTGAATTTTACGCTGTTGATCGAGGCGTCGTCTCCGCCACCGATGATCATTTGAATGGTGCGAGTCGGTGAGGGTGGTTTCGGCGGTCCCTGGAGTTGTTCACGTCCTCGGTCGAAGTTGGTCCTCCCTCGGTTGCTCAGCAATTCTTTGAGGTGTCCTTGGTGAAGCATGTTTACGACCTCCTGCCTTAGAGCGATGCAATCCTCAGTTTTGTGACCTCGCCCTTGGTGGAACTCGCAGAGGGCGTTTGACTTTCTGGTGCTTGGGTATGACCTCATCTTTTGTGGCCACTTCACTTTTGGTCCGAGCTTCTCCAACGCATAGACAATTTCTGAAGGCGACACACAAAAATTGTGAGCGGATAATAAAGGGGGCATACCTCTCTCGTTCCGATGAGTCCTTGTCCTTGGTCTAGATGAGCCTTCTTCATGGCGGTAGGGAGGCATATGGCGCTTCTGATATTTGGCTGATGCCTTTCTCAGTTGGGTCGCGGCGCTGCAAGATCCCTCATGGCACCGTTTCTTCGATCCTTCCTGGATTCGGCCTGTATCGAGGTCAACCTAAGGGTTGGCCCATTCAGGTCATTTTCGTCAGCACGGACCTCGGCACAGTAGGCATTGTGTATTTCATCCCAAGTGGTTGGAGGATATTTCATAAGCCGACTTAATAATGTTTTGGTCGCCCTCGAGCCATTCCTATTTAGCCCGTTTTTGAAAGTTGCTACGACCATTCCTTCCGATACGTTTGGTAGAGTCATTCTTATTCGGTTGAATCGAGCGAGGAAGTCCCTCAATCCCTCTCCGAGTGACTGTTTGATGGCGAATATGTCGTTCACTCTTGTCTCTGCCTTTTTGGCCACAACATGGGCCGTCACGAACTTGTCGGCCATCTCTTTTAATGTTTCAATGGAGCGCGCGGGCAATTGTGAATACCAAGTTAATGCTCCTCCGCTGAGGGTCTCACCGAACTTTTTCAGCAAGATGGAGGACACTTGTTCTTTGGCGAGGTCATTACCTTTTACAGCGGTGACATAGTGTCACGTGATCTTCGGGATCGGTCGTGCCGTCATATATTTTCAGATAGGGCGGCATTTTGAAGGTCTTTGGTATGACATGCAGGGCGGCTTCGTCACTGTATGGTTGCTCAACGAACCGACCAGCATCTCTTTTTGGCAAGAGTTTTGGGGCACCCGGTATTTTGTGGACTCTTTCTTGGTGCTCTCTCATTTGGTCCCGAAGCATTTTGTTTTCATTTTCCATTTCTTTCATCTTTCTCAGAAGGGTTGTGGGGGTCTCGTCACCTGCATTATTAATATTGTGAGTGATACATGTTACTGGATGGAGAGGGTCGTGCTGCTCGGCCGTTGTCGGTGCAATGCAAGTCCTTGCGTTTTCTCTAACTGCCTCCTGGGCGGGCTTGTCGAGGATGCTGGTCAGCGTGTTTGTCAGCCAAGCCATAAGTAGTTTTTTCACTCCTGGTGGCGCCTCTTCCGTCGTGGACGTGGAAGCTCCTTTACCGCGGGACGTTGTGATACTGCCGTGAGGGAGGGGCAACACACCTCGCCTGGGAGAGGCGTTAGGCGGCATATCTTTGCCTTCTGCTTCAGAAACCTCATTGATGGTGTTCAAGAGGTTGGCAGTGAGATCGACCACTGCCTTCATTCTTTCTTCTCCATTACCTGCCATGTCAGATCTGTGCGTACAAGGAAATAGGAGTTTTCCCCTTTTTTTCTTTGTGAACTATGCTAGTTATAGATCTAGAAGAGACTCAAAATTTAACTAGGAAATTCCCATAGACGGCGCCAAATTGTTTGACCAAAAAACGTAAATCTTGGGCTAAACTAATTATTTTTATGTAATGAGGGGTTAAACCTAGTTAATGATAATAACCTTAGATTTATAACCGGTTAACACAGATAACGTAGAACAGTGTTGGTGGGGATAAAATGCAGTGTGCATTTAATATTCCAAACGGTTTAGTAATGAGAGGTAAATATCAAGTAGTAAATAACACTAAATGGCATCAACGTAAATAAAGAGAATGATTCACCCAATATTGAATGAGGTGGATGATTCTTGTTTCTGACAGTGATGAATGACAGACAAATCCTAGAATGTTGGATATATTCTCGGATCTGGTGAAAAAGTATTGAATAATGGATGATAGAATCTTAATGAAAAGGTAATGTTTGTATATTTTCTAGAGAGAGAGTCTTCTTCTCAAAAAGTGTTCTTATCAAAATAAATATTACATGCCTTTTCCCTTATTTCTTTTTCTATTTATATGGGACATACCCCTAGTCAATCCTAAAAGTACAAGTATAGAGAATATACTCCCAAATATCCTATTACAAAAACTAGCCGTTGATACTGCCCTTGATACTTGACCTCAGCCGTTATTGACTACCCGGCCATGAACCCCACTATTTACTAGTCGACCTCGGCCACATTATTTTTCGTAATACCACTTCATGCTAAATCTGCTTGAGGCGAATTTTGACCTATACAAGAAAAAGTAAATGATGAATCCAAAGGGCTATATAGATCCCATATAAAGAATACTTTAACTTACAAAAGCTTAAGTTTACCGTTGTTTGGCCCTCCACTCTACGACATTATACATTTTAAACTCCTAGTTCCTTAGTAAATTGACTTAACATAGAGTTGAATTGAGACGAAGATGGCAAGTATTTTAGGAGTACTTAAAATATCCATACACAAAATAGCCGGAGAATGTTGGGTTCATTTGCAACAAAAAGTTCCTTTCTATGAGGTAGTACGAGAATTGACTGCGAGTTGACTCTCTGTTATGTAACTATAAGTATTTTTTCTATTTATTTAATTTTTATAAGTTTGGATAAGATTTTACCGAATAAGATTGAATTTATAGAAACTGACAATGCCCATATGTTTACTACTCCTGCTACAAAATTAAATTCGAATAGGATAAGGAATGCGAAGACAGAGCCTTGCCATGCGCGTTTGATGTTCCCACTGGCGAGCTTCCCCATGGCTCTGGCGCCGCCACCGCCGCCGCCGATCTCATGCTGTCACCACCAACGCCATCGAAAGCCCCATTTTCAGACCGTCATTTTCCGTCCAAGAACCAACAAAGGCACGTTTGCAACTACCTCTCTTCCAAAATCGGCAGGCTCGCTTTGCACTCCTACACCTGATGAAGGTTCTATAACTATAACACCCCATTTAGAGAATCAGATTAAGAATCCATTAATACTGTCCGAAAAGATTGCGCAACTGTCCGAATCCAAAACCTTGTCGGAAGTTTTACCTACATTTCAAGATTACCTAAACAGTGGCTTTTACCACTCGTCTGAAAAAGCCGAGGCCTTAGGCGTACTCTTACAGGCCTGTGGTAAACAAAAGGATATTGAAACAGGCCGTAAAGTCCATGAGATGGTTTGCTCATTGACTCAGTTCAAAGATGATTCTGTACTCCGTACGCGGCTCATCACAATGTACTCAATGTGTGGGTATCCTTCTGATTCTCGCTCTGTTTTCGATCAGTTAGAAAGCAAAAACCTGTACCAATGGAATGCTCTTATTAGTGGATACACAAAGAATGAGCTTTGGTTTGATGTTATTTGTTTATTTATTGAGCTAATGACTTCATCCCAGGATAGGCCCGATAATTTTACGTTTCCTTGTGCTATTAAGGCTTGTGGAGGGCTTGTTGATGTTGGTTTAGGGGAAGCCATTCATGGGATGGCATCAAAAATGGGTTTAGTTAGGGATGTATTTGTAAACAATGCGTTAATTGCTATGTATGGCAAATTTGGTCTTATTGAAGAAGCTATGAAAGTGTTTGATCATATGCCTGAGAGGAACTTGGTTTCGTGGAATTCAATGATTTCTGGGTTCTCTTCAAATGGGTATATTGAACAAAGTTTTGGTCTTTTCAGAAATATATTTACAGGAGATGAAGTTCTTGTTCCAGACGCAACTACCATGGTTATTATGCTGCCAATATGTGCAGCAAAAGAGGAAGTGGATTTGGGAAAGATTATTCATGGTCTAACTGAAAAGCTAGGACTGGCGAACGAGTTAACAGTGATTAATTCTTTAGTGGATATGTATTGCAAAGTTGGGCTCTTTGCTGATGCCCAAATTCTGTTTGAGAAAAATGAGAGCAAAAATGTGGTCTCTTGGAATTCAATTATCGGGGGTTATTCAGGAGAAGGAGATGTTAGAGGAACATTTCATCTTATGAGAAGGATGCAAAGTGCCAGTGAATATGTGAAGGCAAATGAGGTCACTCTGTTGAATATTTTGCCTGTGTGCGTAACAGAATCAGAGCAGTTGATAGTGAAAGAACTGCATGGCTACTCGCTTAGAAATGGTCTTAAATACCATGAGTTGTTAACAAATGCTTTTATAGCCGCCTATGCAAAGTGTGGATTGCTCAGATATGCTGAGCTTGTATTCTGTGGAGTGGCAAATAAGACAGTAAGCTCTTGGAATGCACTAATAAGTGGCAATGCTCAGAGCGAGGATCCATCCAAGGCTTTGACTCTGTCCTCTGAAATGATGGGTTCTGGTTTGCTTCCTGACTGGTTCACTATTGGTAGCCTTCTTTTTGCTTGTTCCCGCTTAAAACAGCTACTATGTGGTACACAAATTCATGGTTTTGTGCTTAGAAATGGTCTAGAAACAGATACGTCTACAGGGGTTTCCCTAGTTTCATTTTACATGAATTGTGGAAAACTTGAACTTGCACAACTGCTATTTGACAGAATAGAAGATAAAAATATTGTATCCTGGAATGTGATGATAGCTGGTTACTTGCAGAATGCACTACCAGATAAAGCCTTATTTTTGTTTCGCGATATGGTATCTCTTAGATTCCAAGCTGAAGAAATTTCTGTTACAAGTGTCTTGGGGGCTTGTTCAACATTGTCTGCTGTCAAGCTGGGGAAAGAAGTTCATTGCTTTGCACTAAAAACTCACCTAATAGAGGATACTTTTGTCCATTGCTCAATCATAGACATGTATGCAAAATCTGGATTCATAGGAATGTCCAAGTATGTTTTTGACCATATTCCGCTCAAAGATATAGCATCATGGACAGCTATGGTTACAGGATATGCAGTTCATGGACTTGGAATGGAGGCCATCAAGCTATTTCAGGAAATGCAAAAATTGGACTTCACGCCTACGAGCTTGACATATGTCTCTATTTTAATGGCATGTAACCATGCCGGGCTCATTGAAGAAGGTCAACAGTATTTTAGAGAGATGCAGATCTTGCATGGTTTAAAACCTGAATTGGAACATTATGCATGTGTAATTGACATGCTGGGTCGTGCTGGACAGTTCGATGATGCCTTAAATCTTATGGCCGAGATGCCTATGCAGCCAGATACTCAAATTTGGAGCTCGTTGCTCAGTTCATCTATGATTCATGCCCACTTAAATCTTGGGAAGAAATGTGCTGAGAAGTTACTGGAATTAGAGCCAAAAAGAGCAGAAATTTATGTTTTAGTATCCAATTTTTTTGCTAGATATGGGGACTGGGATTCTGTTAGACAATTGAGGCAAAAGATGAAGGAGTTAGGCTTGCAAAAAGAAATTGGTTGCAGTCAGATTGAAATAGGAGGAAAAAGCTATAACTTCGCCTTTGGCAGTATGCTTTCCAAACCGTAAGAGCTATAGTGAGGGTAAATGTGACCAAGGGAAAGAATTGAGCTGGTTAGTACCTAAGATGATTTGGTGCTTCAGCATTTGAACAGAGAGGGTAAAGGATAAATTGAGGTAGGTTAGCAAGAGATCTTTAGGATTCTATTTCCTAGTACCATGACCAAAATCAACTGCTGCCTCCATCATCCAGCACAAAAGAAGGAAGCACAAGTTAGATGCACACTGTTGCATGATAGAATGACCTTTCCCTCTTATGGAAGTTGTTATCTCGCTCGGCATATTCCCTGGAGTTTCTCCACTGGCAGATGAATTGGGATTACAAAACACGATTAATCACTTGACTAACGTTCTTCTTGTTGATGACTCAAGGTTTTCCTCAAGGAAAGCAGTTCACTAATTACCGCAATTTGCTTTAAGTTAGTGCCCAAAATCATTGTTAGGGAGATAATCACAAGGATTGGAGTAGAGGCACTCTCACAATTTTTAAAGATGGTTCTCCTGATGAATGATACAAGGATGGAGTCAATTTGACCTGCTTTTGATTAGCCTCCCAAATTGTTCAGATGTACATATAGGCATAATCATATTCCTTATTCTGTAGTTTGGCTTCTGTTTTAATAGCAAACTGTGTTTGCTATCAAGAACGACTCACTCCATGAAGATGTTTTACTTTTCAAAATTTGAGGAGCCGTGCAGAAGATGTTTTGAAACTTAAGTTCAGCATGGAATTTCAGTTCTTATAAATGATGAGCGACATGAGGCTGGAAGTCCAAGGGTCAATTCTGTGGTAGTCTAAGAAAATTTCCGCCTGACCTTGTACATTTCTGTCGTAGAGAGACGAATCAGTCATTGATTTTAGGTGCTTGGTTATCGCATGCTGGAATCCCCTTGGTGCTTCACAGCATTGTATGTTGTTATATGTAAAACTTCGTTTTGTTGAGTGTAAAGAGAAGTTCTAAGAGTGGAATTAAATATGGAGGGATAACGTTTGTTTGGGAATACAAAGGATGTAAGATGTATGGTAAAGGAGTTGGATACTTCTTCATGCCGACTTTCAATCTTTCTAAAACTAGACGTAGAGAATGAATTATACATTACTTTTACTCTTCTTCCATCCATACCAAGTAACTTGAAGTAAATTGTTAGTACTTCAGCTAAGTGAAATGAGAATTATATTCTATGTCCTAGACCGTCCCTTCCCTTCCCAAGAATTTGTAGTCCAAATATCCAACAGTATTCTCCGTCCATTTGACATCAGTGGAAGGAGTGCAGGTATAACTTGTCAACTAGTTCGACGAGTGAAAATGTGCAAACCAAACCACATGTTCAAATGTCGCAAATAAATTGTACATTAATCTTCATTTTTTGGGTTGAGTTAAACTTCATGTAGAAACAGAAAAACAAGACCCCATTCTATGCAACATTTCCGCTAGCCAAAGCTATAGATTTTGGGTACTTGTTGATTAGAATACATGTAACAAAGTTTCTGACAGCGGTCTTGATCCTTGAGGTAACATATTACGAAGAGAAAACGATATTTCCTAAGTTTCAATATATACTATTTTATGACTATGTAAATTTTATTTCTACTAGTTTTATGCTACGCGCGTTGCGCGTGTAACCTATCTAAATGAGTATTAATTTTTTTAAAAAATTATATAAATATTATTTTTGAATTATAAAATAAATGTGTAAATTTATATTTAAAAGAATATTGATTTGTATAGCTATAATTCAATAAGGAACAGTTGTACCTTCGTTCTCTATATTTTCTTTTAGCTCTTTTACTACTACCTTAAATTGCTTATGAATATGATTTATTTCTATTAATTTCAATATATCTCACTTATCGAGTATTATAATTAGGTTTGTGATTTATATGAGTATAAATTCACAATATGTATTCAATGTATTCATATAATTAACTTAAAGTACACTATAGTACATATTACTTTAAACTAAAATACTACTATTATTTTCAAAACCTAAGCATGTCGTATTTAACTTATTTACATATATTTTCATACTCGTCTAGTATGTTATAAGTTTGGTTTACATAGTATAGTAATCTTCAATTTTTGAAGACTTAAAATTAGATCAAAGATTTTATTAGTAAATTTTTAATGTACGCTTATATACACTTTATCTAATATACATAAGGAAAAAAAAAATCACAATTACTTTACACAATATAAATACGGAAATGATTTATAAGTAATTTTTGTTTGGTCTTAAATTCCTGAAATTTAGGACTTTCTATATATATATTTATATTATATTAAAAGCATAAACTCTTAAAGCTAAAAGTCAAATTACATATTTATCCCTTTTAAAAATCTAATTACCCCACCTCTAAAAAAAGCAGCAAATTCTTTTGAAGGGATGTGATCCTTCGTAACAAATACTAATGTCCCGAAAAGTTACTGTCCTAAAAAGCTAGCCAACAACTACTTAGAAGAAAATTAAATTAAAATAACAAGTTTGTTTGAAGGGACACATACCTTCGTAATAGGTTACTATTGTTCCGAACAGTTTCTATGTACTCTTTTGAATCTTTGAGATGTTCTATTTCAAAGATCTTGTCATCATGGGATAAAAATTAACAAGGCACAATTATTTCTTTTGGATTTCATCCGCAATAATTACATGGGATAATTTAGAAGGCTGATTGACATTTAGTTACAAATCCCGCAGTCATTTCTCAAATTAGCGGTATTCCTTTGCTTCTTTTAATTATACTGATAACATTAGCGCCCCGTCATCTTAATTTTTCATTAATCCGAAAAAACGTATTAATTCAAAGGTGAAAAAGTATTATTCACATTATATTTATATATGTATTATGCATTAGTTATATCTCATTCCAAGAAAACAACTTCACTATTTGTCCTATTAGTAATGATTCAAAGCAAGTTGCCTAGCAATTTATGCTTTTCTTCTCACGTTCTCATTATACTTGATAAAATGGGAATAGATTTTGTCGAATCATTTCGCATTAGAAAGAAAGATGGAGAAATGTTACTGAACAAAAAAACTAGACAATTATCAAGTTCAAAGAAAAAGATCTTCAGAAGCATAAGAAGTTTGATAATTTAGAAGGAAGTTCAAATGTTATCCAAAGATTAGGTACACTGCTGCTAAGTTTTGAGAGTTAAAAAAAAGTTACACGAAGGGAGACGTATGCATTAAAAGGTCTTTGCCCTTTTCATGGAAAAAATTATCAATTTGTTTATTTATAATGTTTTGAATATTTTTTAAAGGCTTGAAGTTTGTGATGGAGATGTTATATTCATGCTATACTTTTCGACACTACAAAATATTTGTTAGGTTATCATGTCAATATCTTCATTCTATCTCTGAGAAGGTCAAAACATTATTTATATAAATTTTTAGTATATTAACAAATTCAAAATACTTTAATCAAAAGAAGACAAGTCAAATAAGCTTTTTTAAATAAATTATTTCTAACATATGGACTATAGATCTTTTAATGGTATAGTAGCACGAATCTAAGTACGATGAATTCACTTTTCTTGTCAAAATTGATACGATAGTGAAAATTCAAGTAGGAGCTTAATTAAGAAAAAATAGCAATGATACAAAGGAAGAGGATGAAAAGAAATAATGACGCAGATCACTCCCACAATTAATAAAATAATTCAAAATTAAAAATAAATTAGCGGCCTTTCTTTTACATGTAAATGAACTTTGAACTGATTTCATTTTAAAGTTGTATTTGTCAAAAAAGTATTATTGCTTGTGTATCAATCAAAGTATCAATTTTAGTATTTTTCTTCATATAAAAGAAAAATTGTGCTGGTATAATATTCCAAATTTGATCTGTATCCTTACCATCATCACTTAACCGATAATTCTCCTAATGCTTTTATTCTTATTAGTTTCCACAAACTATCTATTCATATTTACGCAAAAATAATTACTCAATAAAAGGATTTCTACACAATATATATTATAGGTATAAGTGAATTCTTTGTTATTATCTGTTTAGCTAAATGATTCATGATTTTCATAAATTAAGATGTCAACAACAACAACAATAACAACCCAGTATAATCTCACAAATTTGATCTGGAGAGGGTAGTGTGTACGCAGACCTTACCCCTACCTTGATGGGTATAGAGGTTGTTTTCATAGACCCTCAGTTCAAGAAGACGAAAAGAGACAATAGAACAGTAACAACAACAAAGGCCAGAAAAATAATACCAGCAACCTAAGAAGTAGAAAATTAAATGCAAAAAACAATGTCAATACCAGTAACAATGGCAAGGTACTTGGAAAATGGAGCAGAAAAATAGTATGAACACAACATAAACAACTAGCAGTCTAAGACAAGATATTATCAGACTAGCCATACACCCAGTACGGAGTAGAAAACACCTAACTACCTCCTAACCATCAACCCTAATGCTCGACCTCCACATCTTTCTATTAAGGGCCATGTTCTCGGAAAGCTGAAGCCATCTCATGTCCCACCTGATATTTAAATATCAGCTATTCATATTAATAGTTATGTAATATGAAGCATGTTATAATTTGACAACACAAGTTTTGGTAATGATAAAGCAATTGAGACACATAAAAGCAACGTATACTAAGAATATCATTTATAAGGAAGTTTATGTAAGATTCACTTTATTATGTTTTATACCTCATAAGATTGAGATAAATTAAACAATCATGTGTTTCTAATTAAACTTCGATGGTTTATCTTCATAGGTTTAAAATAATATCTAATTATATTAATCTTGACAAATAAGTCACAACACAAAAATCCACATTGATCGGTCACATAAACCTGTGGTTTAACCTTTTTATGCATAATTATATACTTATAACTTTATTTTAATAATAATAACAATATTATTAATTTGTGTACTACATGGCTTAGTATACACGTGCATCGCACGTGTCGAGAAACTAGTGTAGTTTAAATAAGGGAAGGTTTAATAACAAAATTTAGTTAATTTTAAAGTTCTAAGTATTAGGAGAATAATTAAATTATAATTATACCCAATATAAAATCTTGTTTTAAAGGGTATTGAACCTTGTTTCACCAATTGTATTTAACGTTATGATTTAAATTGTCTTGATTTTTGTTGATATAGCTAATGTCCAAGTTTTAAGTATAGATTCATCATATTTGCCGTCAAAAGTATGTTCAACGAACTTGGAAGAACTAAAAAGGATATTAGAGACAACTTTCTTTAAGAATTTTTGTTCGGATGGTAATTATAATTTTACAATAATTTAAAAGATATTAGAATTTCATACATAGTTTAAATAAGAAAAGTTTAATATGAAAAGTTTTATGTGATTTCAAAGCGGTAAACGTATAAGGAAAATAATGATCTAGTTGATTTAAAACTCCTAAATATTATGGAGAGTAATTTAATTACGATTTTGTCCTATGCAAAATTTATTTTAAAGGGCTAAAAAAGGCGAACGATATTTTACTAGGAGCCTTCGTGCTTTTAATATAGTATAAATAAATACTCAAAATAGTGTTCCTAATTTTTAGCTTCCGATTGGACATAACTTTTATTTTCAAAATTCTTTTGGAAACATTGTTGGTTCCCTGTCACCAACGAACCAGTCCTTGTCCGCTGCCTCCGCCATAAAAAAGTTCCGAAGTTTTGATTTTCTAAAAATTATTATTTATTGGAATTGAGTGTTGTTGCTAACTATCGGTAATATTCTTTGGGGTTTATATCTTAATTTTGAAAGTATTTGGTGAAGATTAGAATTGATTTTGGATAAGTTTTCAGATGAAAATTCGAAGAGGAAGAAGATGTATTAAAGTTGTATTATACTTATATCAAACTTGTATGAAAACTTATTATGTTGTCGTTGTATTTTTTGTATAAATATTGAATGAAAGTTGTAAATAAGTTATATATTATATGAATCATTATATGAAATTTGTACTTTAATTTATAAATTCTCTTCTATATAAAGTTGTATTTATGTATCAAAATTGTATTGAAGTTGCACTATAATAGTTATATGAAATTGTATGAAAGTTGTATTCTG